GACGGGCCGGGTGGCCGCCGCGCCGGCGCAGGGGCTCCGGCGGTTTCCTGCGTGGGCAGGGGGGCCGCCGGCACGGCGCTGGCGGGGCCGGACCGCCCGGCAGCCCGCGTCGCCTTCTCTCGCTGTGCGTTCCCTCCTTCCCTCCCTCCCTCCTTCCCTGCCTTCCTCCCCCCGCGTCTGCGCCCCTGGTGTTGTAATGCCGGGCTCGGTGCCGAGCGGCCCCAGCCGGAGCGAGCGGCAGCGCCTGTCGTGGGAAGGGTGCGAGGGATAAGGTGCGTCGCCTTCCTTTTGTGCGAGCTGGAACAAAGCTCTCTGTGCGCCCACTCTCCCGGCCCCTCGCCGGGAAAGGAAAACGCCGTCTGAAGGAATAATGAACCCGAATCGTCTCGCCTACCTTCGCAGTAGAAGGTTGTACTGTTGAGTACCGATTAAGTACGATGTTTTCGTAACTGATTACAAAATCCATTGAAGGGCGTTTAGAAACGTGAATGGCTCTTTACCACCCTTCAGTCGACCACCCTCTTATTTTTTTTTTTTTTTTTTTTTTATTCTTTTTTGTAAAGTTAAGAGTGAATTCAGCAGCAGGGAATGGTCCTAAGTTGTGGTATTTCCATTCAGCAGTCGCCTGTCACTTTGTGTCGAAGGTTGGATGATGATTCTTCCCAGTGTAAATTGATTGCGGTTCTAATTTACATTTTTTTGTTCTCTGTGGACAGGTAATTATTTTTGAGTTCTTTTATCAAGTCAGTGTCCTAGGAATTGTTTCAGGCCTGTTATCTGTAGGAATAGAGAAACTCCTTTTGTAGATGAGGAAGACTTGGCTGAATTGAAAAAGTTGCCCAATTTGTAGTAGAACCTAGCCCTGGCATGAAAAAGTTACATGAGAGCAATTTACATTCGGATACTTTATCAAGTCCATAGCCAGAAATACCCCACGTTGTGGCTTTTGTAGAAGTCTGGATAAAATTCTTGTTGGCAATGTATTTGTCCTTTGTTCTTGTACTTTTATTCCTGTTGTAACTTTTTCTTGGCTTATTGACCCTGTTTCATTTGTTCACTGAACGTGCCTGTATTTTAAATGTATTTTATTTAGCCTGCACACAACCTGGTAGGCTTTGAGTTTTAGTCTGAAATTTTGTGGAGGATCTTCTCGCACAGCTGCAGGATTCAGCTGCCAGTCCTAAGTATGTCCTGCTGGCTTCTCTGTTCCAGGGACAATGAATATATTTGGCTGGATCGGAATTTATTTACTTATTTATTTTTAATTTGTGGAGTAATTTAGGTTTCAAAGGGACCTCTGGATGTTATCTGGTCCATCTCCTGTTTGAATTAGGGGAGAAAGCTTTTGGTATATTGCAAGTGTGAAACAGCATGTAACTAAGAATTCATTGATCAAATACGTGTTTACCGAAACAGTATGTAGCTAGGGCGTAGAATTTCTTAAAGTCATTGTATGGGACCCAAATCCCAATGTTTTTGGCACTGCTCTGGCAAGGTCCTCGCAGTGAGAACTTTGTGATTTGTTATGAGAATTAAAAATACTGAATGTGGTAGAGTGTGTAAATGATCTCTCTGCCTTTTTTGGACACCAGCATTCAGGAATTGAGGATCTAAAGCATAAGTGATGTAACCAAAGTAATTAACTTTATTCTTTATAGTAGTTGGTGTATGTATTAAACTACTTCAAGTCAGGTCTAATAAAATGTTGATCATGTTTGGGATTGAATATGGTGCTTGTTCAGATGTGCAGTAAACAAAGCCTGCTCACTTCTTTCAGAATGGACATGTGTTTGCCATAGATGAGCATTACTGTTGTGTGAAATGTCATGGAGTATTGCATTGCAGAGGGAAAAGGATTGTGAAAAAGCAATAGATATTTTTCTATTTCCTGGAGTCCTGAAAAGCAAGCAATTGATGGGTATTTTTTTTTTTAAGTAAAAAGTTATTTATTACCTTTTTTTTTACTTTTTTCTTGGTTTAAAATTAGGAATTATGATAATGTTTTATTTGTTCTCCAAGAAGCAATATCCAGATTCTGTGGCTATGGAAAAAAATAATGTAGCGAAGGATTTGGCAAATATTCATTAAATTGTGTTTTTATGATGAGAAAATCAGTTCAGGCTATACTTGTATCTTAAAAGACAAAAATGTTTTCAAAATAATGGCATTAAATAACTCTGAATCAATAGAATCTCTCTTAAATTATGGATCAGTCGGTGTAACTATGAACTCTACAGCTTTACAAGGCATAGTAGGACAAAAGCATGTAGATAGGAGGATCTCAGTTCATCCCCTTCACAGAAGGGATCAAAGAACAGGTATTAGTGCTTGCACTAATTTTGGTATTGCTAGGCTTTCCAAGAAAAACAAACCCACCTTCTCCAAAGCCCTTAAAAGCAAACAAACCAAAGAAAAAAAAACCCACCCCTCCTTTTCTTTTTTTGTTCATTGTTGTGGCTAGTAGCTTTTCTGATGAGGACAGTATTTCATTCCAAGAGCAGGTAAAGGTCTGACACATGGAGCTGCAGTAACTTCTTTGATAAATTGCTGTGAAAAGCGTAGATGGATGAATGAGACCAGACAGTACATGGCATGAACTGTGTTACCAATGTTATGTTTCTCCCTTGCTTATGTCAAGCATCAGTTGAAGATCTGTCCTTTCGATCTGGATATCTGGGAAAGTGTCTGGTATTTCTTGGTCCCTCAGTAAAAAAGAGGGCATATCTTCAGTGCCTGGGACTTTGTTCACTTGCCTTATGGTCATCTGTAAATATGTGACGGAAGCAACTCAGTAATTTAAAGATATATTGCGTGAGATTAGTTATATGTGGGTGCGGATGGTGCACTTAGAGCCTTGTTTCACTTACTAATATTCCCAAAATGCAAGACTTGGGGGCGGGCACAGAGTGCATGTGCTTGGTGGCCTGACAGCAAACTTTTGCTGCTGATGATTAGTGGTTCCACTTTTTCCTTTCTCGGACAAAATCTGCAGAACCCTCTGCAGTCGCCCCACCACACTTGTGCTGATGGTCCCTACTCCTGATGTCTCCTGTGCCTTTGGTGATGGTTAGAGCTTTACAGGGATAGCAAGGAATTTCTTTCTGCCTGCTTTTCTTGCAATCCCTTAAAAGTTGCTGTGAAGTCCGTTGAGTGTTTGATATTCTCAGGCATAAAGTAGTTTTAAACATTTTTCAAAATATGGAAAAGTGAAAACAAACATAAACATTACCCTGCTATATTGAGTCCTTGAAAAATAATATGGAGACCGGAATAGGTGATCCTTGAAATTAGGCATAAAGTTGAAATAGTCACCTCATTTGTCTTCATTATACAGAAAGCATTTTAGCGTTCTGAATGCTCTTATGGAGAAGATACATGGAATAGCCCTTTTGTGAGGGATTCAGTCAAGACACTTCTGCTTTGTACTCTGGGTATGTAGTCCTCAGTAGGTTAAGTTTGATACGGACAAATAGCTGGCCCACTGCTGACCAGGCAGTCAACTAGGGGACAAGCTGCCAACTCGCCAGAATGGTCTTCATTGTGAGTTGGCTTCCCCACACCTCACCAGGTGTGTTTACAGAGCAGATTAGGTGTATTTTATGCCCCCTCTCCTCCAAAAGCAAAACAAAGCAATTATTCTACTAGTCTTCAATATATCTTCGATGCAGATTTTGAAATTCATTGTAATAGGTTTATGACGCTGAAGTGGTTTTGGTCATAGTATAGTTGAAGTATTGCAAAGACCAAGAACTTCATTCACATTGTGGTTAGCAATAAGGTGCATGAGTTTCTGGTTATGACCTCATTGCTTCAGCTGTACGCAAATGGTATGAAAAATATGATCGTTCCATTTCAGATTTATAATCCAGGTAGTT